GCTCCACCATCTGAAAGATGGGGCAACGGGGACCCCAATGTGAGACGGTCCCAGGGGCTGCAGGCTAGGCTGGCGTTGGGACTGGACCCCTTGTGGTCAGGCTGTATGGTTCCACTGGACCCATGTCTCCCAGGACGGTCCCTGCTTGGCAAACCCGTCTGGAAGTCCCCTGCCCCTTGTCTGGAAGGCTGGGGGATGGGGGCGTGCTGTTTGGAGCTGGGCCGGCTGCCGGATACACACCCCTACCCGACCTTGGCCCCAGAGCCCAGCTGCAGAGACAAACAGGATATGGGGTCGGGCCACCAGGCAGGACAATGGCCAGGAGAGGAAATGTCCCCTGATCCTTTTAGAGACAGGAGCCTGGTGGGGGCTCCTGTCCACACAGCTTCCAGAAAAACAGATGGGGGTGTGCCAAGCCATGCTGTGTTCTACAGAGCTGGGCTCTGGTAGGGGACAGCCAGAGCTCCAGGTGTACACAGCTGGCAATCAGGGGCACCCGCCCATGGATGGGGGGCAGAGGCCAAGGGGCCACACAGCGAGTCAGGGAGGCCGGGCCTCGGAGACCATTCTGATTCCTCTCTGGAGCCCCGTGGCCTCACTGAACAGGGGGACGGAGCCCTGCCCTGTGTGTGGCTGCCAGGGGCTGAGTGGGGCAGGGGCTGACCCTGGGGCCAGTGCTGTCTCTCCGCCTGCCTGTTGGCTGTCCCCAGTGCCAATGGTTGAGACCACAGCAAGGCTCCCACACCGGTGTCTGTCAGGTGAGGGACGTGTGTGTCCCACGTGGCTGCACCCAGTGGTCATCCCGTTCCATCCTCTGATGAATGACCCAGAGCAAGGCCCCCAGCCCCCCATCATGGCCCCCTCCCTTCTGAGCCTGAACACAGCGGACACCAGGGGGCTTGGCTGGCCGTTAGGGAAACCCCCGGGGCACAGATGCAGAAAATGACCCTCAGGTGGGGGGTGACCAGAAGGCCGGGGGTAGGGGAGACATGGTGGCAGGGCTGGCGTTGGGTCCAGTGGGGCCCTCTGGGGTGCCATGTACAGGGGGGTTGAGCGCCTGCCTTTCGGGGTGCCGGGGGAGCCAAGGCCTGCACAGAAAGGCCCCCACGTTGTGGGGAAGAGCAAGGAAAGACTCACCCCCCGGTGCTGGGGGGATTGGAAGAGGGGCGAGGAGGGCAGCTGCGGGGGGTGGGCACCAGTGGAAGGCCGGAGCCCCTGAGACACCATCGGTGCCCTCAGCGTGGGCCCTTTGAAAAGGGGTGTGTCACGTCCGTCTGCTCCCCGCTGCATCCGCCCCTGCTGGGGGAGGGACTGGGGGTGGCCGTAAGGAGCACTGGGAGGCTGAGGGAAGAGGAGGTGGCCTAGTGGGCACTGTGACTAGACAGGTGGCAGGGAGGCAAGCGAGAGAGGAGCATGACCACCACGGGCCTTGAGGAGAACGGCACAGACTGGAGTGGGGAGTCAGCAGAGATGGTGGCCCCCAGGGGACAGTGTCTGGGGGACAGTGTGGAAGATGGCCCCCAGGGGACAGTGTCTGGGGGACAGTGTGGATGATGGCCCCCAGGGGACAGTGTCAGAACGTCATCCTGAGGCCACCTGCACTCCCGGGAAGGTGCCTGGAGCTGCTGAACAGCCCAGGGTGCACGTCCGCCCGACAGAGCGTGGTCAGCCCCCAAGGGCACCTGTGTGTGGCTGAGGGGCTCAGCGCCGTCACAGGGGAAGCAGCTCGTCCGTGGTCGGTCGCAGTGGCTGTTGCCTCTCTGAGCCTGGACTCCTGTCTATGAAATGGGTGCCTTTCTACTTGACTCGAGATCCCCCTGGTGCTGGGCCTGGCCACGCACGGGAAGCCCTAGCGTAAGGCAGCACACAGCCCTCACACCGGCCCTCCAGGAGGGTGCGACGTAGGCGGTGGCCAGGCCTGTGAGGGCCGTCCCCATTCAGCGCCTGCTTCTTGTCTGAGCTGAGATTCATTCAGGATTCCAGCGAGCAGCAGGGCCAGGCCCAAGGGGACGGAGAGAGAGTGGACCCTCAGCCGGGCTCCCTGGACAGAGAGCTTGTGGCAGCTGAGGACAGGGAATACCCTCCTCAACCTGCATTTCTATTCAGGGGCCAATAGACACATGCGCCTGTGCCTGCACATAACATACAGTTGTATGTCTGTGTCCATGCATGCACATGTGTGGGTCTGTGCCTGTGTGTACCTGTGAAAAGGTGTGCCTGCACAGTACACATGTGTGTACATGTATGCACACTTGCATGTATGTGTGTCATTGTCCATGACTGTTTACATTGTACACATGTTCGTGTGTGCATATTGCATGTGTATACCATGTGTTCATGCATGTGTGTATCTTTTGCATAGTGTACATGTGCTCATGTGTGCGCGCATGCATGTGCCTGTGTCTTTGTGCATAGTATGCACATCATCCATGTATTCATGTGTGTGCACAGTGTACATGTGTATCTGTGTTCAGTGTGTGTAGCTGTGTGTCTGTGTGCACATGTATGTGTTTATGTGTGTGCACTGTGCACACGTGTCTCTGTGTGCACATCTATGTGTGTGTGAATAGTATGTACATTGTGTACGTGATTGTGTGTGTGCACAGTGCACATGTGTGTCTGTGTGCACACATTAGTATGTGTGTCTTTGCACAAAGTGTACGTGGGCTCATGTGTGTGCACACTGCATGCACGTATGTCTCTGTGTGCAGTGAGGGGAAGAGGAACCGAGAGTTGAGGTTGGCAGGGCCAGAGGGCTGGCAGCTGGTGGACTTCCCCAATCACAGTGCCAAGGCGGGGCCTGGGGGCTGGGCAGTGGGCGCGCTGCTGGTGCAAGGCTGGAGCAGGGCCAGGAAGGGGCCAATGATCAACCGGCCTCGGGGCGGCGGTGGAGCGGAGCCGGCCTGCGTGTCCGTGCCCGGCCCGGAGCAGGAGGAAGTGGGGCAGGAAACAGGGGCGGTGGTGGCTGAGAGCAGTCAGCTGAGCTGCGAGCCGGGCCTCCTGGCCAGCCAGAGAGAGCCGGGCAGCCCCCCGCGGCCGGCGGCCTGGCCCTGGCCCCGTGGAGCGGCAGCGGCGGCAGCGCAGAGCAGGTACGAGCACTGGGCCTTCCCGTGCGGCGGGCGGCTGAGGCTGACCTGAGCCTACTCGCTGCCTTTCACTTGTTTGAACCTCCCTGCGATGTTGGGGGGCGGGGGAAGCTGCAGTGGGGGGCTGCAGGGAGCTGTAGCGGGGGGCTGTTGGTGTACGTCGCCCGCCCGAGGCCCGGCCATAGGAATCCTGGGAACGCTGCTTCGGACCAATACCACGACGGTCCCAGATTTTATGGAGCAGGCCGCCCCCTCAGCCGGTGCCCTCACTGTGCCCGTGTCCTGCGGGCCTGGGTGGGAAGCAGGAACAGCTGGACTGGAAGGGCCGTGGCCGGCCTCCGGATTTGGTCTGGTGCCCACCCTCAGCCCGTGTGAGGGCCCCACGGCGGGCAGCACAAGTGCTGAGCTCGGCACCCCTGTCCGGCCAGCCATGCCGAGGTCGCCACCCCACAGGGACGTGACCAGGGGCACTGGGCAGAAATTTCCACGGGAGGACACGGACCCGGACCCCTGACTCCAGGTCCTGGCCTGGACACACGGTCTCGGCACACTGGGTAGACCCCCCCGGGTCCCGGGGTGACCCCTCTCTGAGCCCTGGGATCCCCAAGCCTGTCTGAAGTGGGGTTTGGGCCCTTTCGAGGTTCACAAAGCTGGAGGAAGGCTCAGAGGAGGGGCCGGCAGACTGGGGGTGGCAGCGTTGGGGGGCCAGGGGCCGTCGGCAGGAGGGGCCGGCTCAGGAGCATGGCCTCCAGGGCCAGGGGGCGGGACAGGCCGCAGTGGTGCTCAGAGGCAGGTCAGGCACGAGGCCAAGTGCGTCCAGATTGAGGGCCGGCGCGCGAGTGCCACACTCGGCCCGGCCGGTTCAGACCCCACCTGTGCCCCGTCCCCATGCGACCCCAGCAGGAGGGGCATCACAACCCTCTGTGCTCTGAGCCTCAGTTGCCCATCTGTGGAATGGGCTCAGGGTGCTGGGGCCGCACTCCCTGGACCCCCAGTGACTGGAATCGGCTGTCTCAACTCTGGAGGCCGGACGTCTGACTGCGGGGTGTCAGCAGGGCAGTGAGTGGTGTCGCCCTCCCTTGTGGGCGGGGCTGGCCGGTGAATCCCCACGTCTTCCCCTGGGGTGCCTGTCTGCCGCCCGCCGCTGCCACCGCGGACCCTGGGGTCATTTTGGGGTCCTCCCCTCTGACAGCATCAGGAGGAGCTGCCCTGCACCCCCTCGGGACGACACCACGGTGGGCCACGCTCTCTCCAAAGCCTCTGTGGGAGGCACCGTTCCCTGCCTCTTCTAGCTTCTGGGGAGTCTGGGCAACCCCAGGCTTGTGGCCGCACCCCTGCAGTCTCTGCTTGGCGGGTGTCACGTGGCTGGCTTCCCTGTGTCTCTCCTCTATTGTAAGGAAACCACTCATCTGGGGTTCGCTCCCACCATGTGACCTCACATTAACCTAACTGGTGACATGTTCAGAGGCCCGACTTCCACGTGTCTTCTTCGGGGCTCACGTTCACCCACCAGCAGGCGCCTCCCTTCCCGGGGGATCATGAGGGTTAAATAAACACAGGTCAGTGCAGGTAAGGGCCCCCACTTTTTGGCGTGAGGACTGCAGTCATGTGCCCGTGCGTGAGTATGGACGCTAACCTCCTTCACGGATGAGAACGTTGAGGTGAGGAGGTGACGGGCACACCACGGTCCTCAAGAGGGGCTTCTTGGTGACCCGGCTGAGGCCAGGCTGAGCCTGGTGGATGCCCTGTCTGGCCCCCTACCCTGTTCAGGGTTGCCGGAGTCCCATCTCCTGCACTCAGCCCACACTCACCCCACGCTTTAGGGAGCCAGGGGCCCCAGTCTCTCATCCCTGATCCCCTTGTGGTGAGGCTTGCTCCCTGGCCAATGTCCCCCCACTGGGGACAAGGACACCCATGCGACTGAACCCCAGCCTCCTGGCTCTGAGGTTTGTCCCAATGATGAACTGAGCAAGGGAGTGAGGCCAGAGGACAGGGCGTGTCCCCAGGGTGGCTGACCCGAGCTGCACCCGGCTGGCCCCTGGGCCTCTGCCTAGTGGGTGGCTGGTCACTGGGGCAAGCAAGGAGGTCGTTTAAGGAACCAGTGGCCAGGGGAACGTGCCCTCAGAGATTCCGCCCACTTCCTCATAGACTCAGGGTTTCAGTGGGAACCCCACGGTTGTGGTTATAATTACCACCCCCAGTCTGTCCTGGCTGGTGCACATCTGAGTGTTCCCCCTGCACCCGGGGACCCCTTGTCCTCAGGATGCAGCCCCAGAGCTCTGGATATGTGCCAGCTGGTGGTGGGCACCGGGGCACCAACGAGAACAGGCTGCACCCTGATGTGGGGACATGGGCAGGAAGGGGTGGACCCTGGCACCCACAGCACCCTGCAGGGCAGACGCCGGATCCCCTCAGTGCCCGTTACTTCAGAGCACCCTCCGCCGTCCCTGCCCTTTAGGGTACTTCTGGGGAAGGGTTTGGCAGTTAACCAGTCACCCAGGCTGCATCTGGAGCGGGTGCAGGGCCCCAGTGAGGCCACCTTCCAGGGCTCAGCATCACTGCTGCAAGCCTGTGGCCGTCAGCTCTCCAGGGCCGGGACCCTTCTTCCCAAGCCATGGCCGTGTCCCCCCAGGAGGCGAGAGCTTGTCCTCTTTCCTGTGGGGGGAGGGGGCGTTAGGACAAGGGCCACAGACCTCTCCCTGGGACACGAGGGGGCCCAGTGTGACACCAACCAGAAGCACGGCAGCCGTCTGCTGTGGAGGACGGTGTCCCCTGAAAGCCAGGCGGGAGGCCTCAGCCCTGCACTGTGAACGTGGCCTTATTTGGAAAGGGGGTCCTTGCAGATGCCACGAGTTAACATGAGGTCACACTGGAGTGGGAAGGGGGTCTGTATCCCAGCTGAGTGGTGTCCTTGTAAACAGAAGGGACAGGGAGACCGAGGGAAGACAGACAGCCACGTGGCAATGAATGCAGAGATCGGGCTGGTTCGGACACAGGCCAGGATCCCAGCAACCACCGGGAGTCAGAGAGGCAGGAGACCTCCCCTGGGACCCGAGTTCAGACTCCCCGCCTCGAGACCCGAGAGGACGGGGCTGTGTCCTTTGTGGTGCCCTGCCCTGTGGCACGCTGCTACAGCAGCCCAGGAAGCAAAGACGCGCCGCCCTGGCAAACCTGCTTTCATTTTGTCACCTGTTAGTGTCACGATATGAGCAATACCAGCGCCGCGTACAGCAAGCATCCCTGACCCTGCAGGGTCACTCTCCCCATGGGGAGGTGAAGAGACTCTTCTGGGCAGCCGCAGGCTGGGGGAAGGCCCCTCCCGGTCCGAGGGGTGGGCAGGCGTCCTCAGCCCAGTGCTCACTCCCCAGGTGGCCATCTGAGTGGCCATCACTCAGCTGATGGGAAACAGGGTCCCCAAGGTCCCAAGGGCACAGAATTTGGGGAGTAGTAGGGCACTGGGCAGAGGCCACCCCACGGGCCAGCTGGTCATGGGCAGCAGGGGATGTGGCAAACCAGCCCTCCCCTGGGTCATGCCTCGGAGGCCACTGCCGTGGGCTGGGCCCCCCCCACAGCGCCTTCGAGCCCGAGCTTCTCCAGGGTGTGCTAGCCTTGTGGACAGGCCTGTAGACCCTGGGGTCTCATCTGGGCTGCTGGCCTGCCGGTTTCCCTGCGGAGGAATATGTAAATGTGTGTGTGTGTGTGTGAGTGAGTGTGAGAGGCTGTGATATGTGTGTAAGTGGGGGTGTGTGTGTGGGTATGTGACAGGCTGTGGTGTGTGAGTGCGAGAGCAGGACGGTGCATGTGGGTGTGTGTCCCCTTGGAACCTGTCTGTCCAGCGACTGCTGTGAGGTTTGGAGGAGCCAGGGGCCACCACAGCGTGGGAGGTGGGGAGCGGTGGTGAACACACACACGTGCCCTCAGGCTCCCTGGAGGGACCAGGTGCTGTGGGAGCTGCACCTGCCGGGGCCGGCCCTCCTCGCCCAGGGCTACGGGCCTCTGGGGGGGTGAGGGGCTCAGCTGGGTCTGGCCCTGGCTGAGGGTCCAAGCTCCAGAATGCTGAGCAGGGAGCCCCTGCAGAGCAGGGAAGGACCTGAGGGAGCTGGTGAGTAGACCGGACTGAAGAGGCTGCCGAGAGAGGGCGAGGTCCAGCTGGCCTGTGGGGCGGGGACGGCCACCAAGAACACCATGTTGTCCTGGCCGTGACCACCCAGTGGCCAGCACCAGGTTTGGAAGGGTGCCTGTTCTCTCCTCTCTGTCCCCTATGCTCACGTCTGCCAGCGATGGCACGCTGGTCCCCGTGGCCTCCTCAGACCAGTCCGTCTCTACTGACCACCTCTCTGTCCTCTCTCCACAGAAGGCCAGCCAGGCACGCCCAGCCTCCGCGCTGAGGCTGCCTCAGGCCATGGAGGGCCCAGCTGTGGTGACCACCTCACATGTCCCAGGCCCTCAGGGGCTATCCTCTCCAGGGAGGAGGCCCATGGAGCCCTCAGACAGCAGCAGTGAGACTCAAGGGGTCCGGAGTGTGACCGAGGGCACATGCCCGTCCGTGGGCAGGAAGCACATGGGACCCGAGAAGGCAGACGCCGCTGCCAGAGCCGGTGAGTGTAGCACGGGGAGGAGGGTCCCCTGCCTGGCCATCCCCTGGCCCTGGGCTGCCAGAGTGGTGGCCCTGAGGGGGTCTCAGTGTGCACACACTTAGAGCAGTGACTGCCATGAGTCATTTCCCAGAGACCTGGGCCGCATCTGTGATAACAAAACAGGGTACAGCGGAAGCGAAAGGGCCTGGAAGAATGTTCTAGCAACACTGCCCGATGCGTCTACAGCGCTTAGACCAGCGCCTGCATCTGTCCCTGGGTGGCTCGGGGTGAGGGGTACCTCTCATCCCCCAGGAGTCACGCTAAGGCCCAGACGGGGAGGGGACTGGGTCCCGGTCACTGGGTGACCCGTGGCCCAGGCATGCCGCCCCCTGAGGCTGGAACAGGGCTCCTTCCTGCTGTAGAGTCCAGCATCATTCCAGTGAAATGGAAACAGCCTGGGGCCAAAGCCTCGGAGACCCCTGCCTGTTCTAACTGCCCCTCCCCACCTGCGGTCTGCCAATACATCTCTGGCCCCGAAGGCACCTGCTTACCTGCGACAGGTGTAATGTGGTGAGGTACCATCCACGGGAGCCACTCAGCAGATCCCTGAGGGTGGTGAGGCCACTGCTCCCTTGGGCCCTGGTTTCCCCACCTGGGAACCTGAGGGCTGGTCCAGGTGAGCTCCAGACCCCCACCTCCGCCCCAGACACTCTATAGGCCGTGAGAGGGAGGCAGTGTGTGCCTGTGGTCTGAGCCCGCCTGCGGCCCCTGACCCTCCCTGGACTGTCCCACCACCTGCTGCGTGCCCCGACTCTCCGCCCGTCCCTGGTCTCCAGGGCCCATGGTGTGTGCCTGTGGTCTGAGCCCGCCCCTGCCTGTGTGCCCTGCCCCGGTGCCCGTGCCGGGATCTCTAGGGCTTGGCTGTCTGGATGCTCAATGACGTCTTGAAGGGTCAGTGAAGGGCTCGCCTGAGTGTGAATGGACACAGAGTCCACCCACCAGGGTCCTGCCCCGGCCTGACAGTAAATGCCACATGGTGGGGCTCTCCACACCCATTACTTTGTTATCCATGCCTGTTAACCTCAGAGCCTTTGCTTTGTGATTTCTGGCAGTGGGTCTGGTTTGGTTTTTTTTGGTGGTGTAGTGCCTCACTTGCAGACGGACAGGTTGGCAGCGTGAACCCAGCCCACAGCCCCCCGGGACGGCCTGGAAATCTGCTCCAGGAAGACCACAGCCTAGGGAGCCCCCGGGACGGCCTGGAAATCTGCTCCAGGAAGACCACAGCCTGGGGAGCCCCCCGGGACGGCCTGGAAATCTGCTCCAGGAAGACCACAGCCTGGGGAGCCCCCCGGGGCAGTTCTGCTCGGTCACCTGGGGTCCCCTAAGGTCACACAATAGCAGCTTTGAGTCACTTACACCTGTTATTTTGGCCCGTCTAGGCGTGGGCATCAAAGACGGTCTCTCAATTCAGGAGGGATGGAATCAAGGTCATATTTTGGCTCTTGTGGACTTGTTTTAATTGTCTTTAACTTCAAGTTGAACTTGCATATGAGCAGTTGATGGTCTGTTCCGCAGTCATCTCCTGGCCTGGTTTTGGCTGAAGATACTTAGCTTTTCCATTGCCTCTTGCCACAGATGTAGTCAATCTGATTCCTGTGTGTTCCATCTGGTGAAGTCCACGTGTATAGCTGCCATTTGTGTTGTTGAAAAAAGGTGTTTGCAATGAATCAGTCATTAGTTGCAAAATTCTATCATGCGATCTCCAGTGTCATTTCTATCACCAAGGCCAAATTTTCCAATTACCAGTGATTCTTTGTTTCCAACTTTTGCATTCCAATCACCAGTGATAATTAACACATCTTGATGGCATGTTCGGTCAATTTCAGACTGCAGAAGTTGAGAAAACTCTTTGATTTCCTTATCTTTGGCTTTGGTTTTTGGTGGTTAGTGCATAATTTTGAATAATCGTAGTATTAACGGGTCTTCCTTGTAGGCGTATGGATATTATCCTATCACTGACAGCATTGTACTTCAGGGAAGATCTTGAAATATCCTTTGTGATGATGAATGCCTTCCCATTCTTCAAACTGTCATTCCCGGCATAGTAGATCATATGGTTGTCTGATTCAAAATGGCCCAAACCAGTCCATTTCAGCTCACTAATGCCAAGGATATCAATCTTTATGTGTTCCATTTCATTTTTGACAACTTCCAATTTTCCTAGATCCATACTTCGTACATTCCATGTTTCTATTATTAAAGGATGCTTGCAGCTGTTTCCACCAACCACCAAAGCAAAAGATGAGGAAATTGAAGATGTTTATCAATTTCTGCAGTCTGAAATTGACCTAACGTGCAATCAAGATGTGTTAATTATCACTGGTGACTGGAATGCAAAAGTTGGAAACGAAGAAAAATCACTGATAGTTGGAAATTTTGGCCTTGGTGACAGAAATAATGCTGGAGATCACATGATATAATTTTGCAAGACCAATGACTTGTTCATTGCAAATCCCTTTTTTCAACAACACAAATGGCAGCTATGCACGTGGACTTCACCAGCTGGAACACACAGGAATCAGATTGACTACATCTGTGGCGAGAGGCAATGGAAAAGCTCAATATCTTCAGCCAAAACCAGGCCAGGAGCTGATTGTAGAACAGACCATCAACTGCTCATATGCAAGTTCAACTTGAAGTTAAAGACAATTAAAACAAGTCCATGAGAGCCAAAATATGACCTTGATTATATCCCACCTGAATTTAGAAACCATCTAATGAATAGATTTTATGCAGTGAACACCAATGACCGAAAACCAGAAGATTGTGGGATGACATCAAGAACATTATCCATGAAGAAAGCAAGAGGTCATTAAAAAGACAAGAAAAGAAGAGAAGACCAAAGTGGATGACAGAAGAGACTCTGAAAATTTTCCCTTAAGTGGAGAGTAACTAAAGTAAATGGAAGAGCTAACAAGATAAAAGAACTGAACAGAAGATTTCAAAGAGCAGCTCGAGCAGACAAAACCAATTACTATAATGAAATGTGCAAGGACTTGGAGTTGGAAAACCAAAAGGGAAGAACACGCTCAGCATTTCTAAATCTGAAAGAACTGAGGAAAAAATTTAAGCCTTGAGTTGCAATATTGAATGATTCTATTGGCAAAATATTGAATGATTCAGGAAACATCAAAAGAAGATGGAAGGAATACACAGAGTCACTGTACCAAAAAGAACTGGTCGATCTTCATCCATTTCAGGAGGTGGCATAGGATCAAGAACCAGTGATATTGAAGGAAGAAGTCAAAGCTGCACTGAAGTAATTGCTGAAGAACAAGGCTCTAGGAATTGACAGAATACCCATTGAGTTATTTCAACAAACGGGTGCCCCACTGGAGGCACTCACTCGGTTATGCCAAGAGATTTGGAAGACAGCTTCTTGGTCAACTGACTGGAAGAGATCCATATTTGTGCCCATTCCAAAGAAAGGTGATCCCACAGAATGTGAAAATTATCAAACAATATCATTAATATCCCATGCAAGTAAAGTCTGACTGAAGATAATTCAAAAACAGTTCCGGCAGTATATTGATAGAGAACTTCCTGAAATGCAGGCTGGATTCAGAAAAGGACATGGAACAAGTGATATCACTGCTGATGTCAGATGGATCTTGGCTCAAAGTAAAGAATACCAGAAAGGTGTTTACTTGTGTTTTATTGACTATGCAAAGGCATTTGATTGTGTGGATCATAAAAAATTGTGGATAACATTGAGAAGAATGGGAATTCCAGAACACTTAATTGTGCTCATGAGGAACTTGTACATAAACCAGGAGGCTGTTATTCGAACTGAACAAGGGGACACTGCATGGTTTAGATTCAAGAAGGGAGTGCGTCAAGGTTGTGTCCTTTCCCCATACTTATTCAATCTATATGCTGAGCAAATAATCTGAGAAGCTGGACTATATGAAGAAGAATGTGGCATCAGGATTGGAGGAAGAATCA